AGAACAGTCAGGAAAATGATGACTAACTTTCTGAAAGAGCATCCCAAACACACCTGATTAGCTAAATAATATCAGAAACCCTAGGAATTTGTTCATAATTTTTAAATGTCAGASTTCTCCACAGAGAAGGTACAAGCTGTATTTGCCCTCAGGGAAGAAAAGATTAACTCCTCCAGCAGTAGACAGAATACCTCGTTATAGTGAGGTTACGCAAAGATTGCTGTCCTTTAAGTTCCCTTTCTTCCTGTAGTACTCACACATTTCAGACTCCATCATGCCTAAATCTATTCAACTTGCAAAACAAATATTGCAGCACAGCAACAGACTACTGGCTGAAGTAATCCTTTGCTATTAATTAACTGGACTGTTCTTAATGATGTCTCAAAATCAACCCCACCCATTCAAGATGCTGCGCATGAACTCACATCCCCATCCTACAGAACTGTGCTATGCACAGCACAATTTCTGTGAGTCTGAAACTTGTTAGGATTGCTTGATTTTACACTAATACAACTATCACCCAATCACCTCAGAGCCAGACTGGACCTCTTCTGCAGCTGGATGAGATTCATCAAGTGTTGTGGATTCACTGCTGTGCTCTGACATACCTGAAAACCAAATAGGTTTGGCATGCATTAATTGAAGTGAAAGGAGCTGGATGTTGCACCTCACAGAAACCAAAACAGGCTTTGAGAAAATATTTCTTTTTCAAGTTCTGCTAAAGCAAAGTGAAACTTCCTTCTTTGGATGGTGAGCAGGCCTTTAGCTCTCCAAAAATCTAACAGAGATAAGGAATACAGTCTAGTGTAAACTTTCATTGCCAAAGTAACCTTTCCCCACAGAGAACTAAACTTGCAACATAACATGCTGGAAGTCAAACAAGGTTCTTCAGCTGATATTTACTGTCACCCGCAACAATACACTGACTGTATCCTATCATCGGAAAGATCACCATTTTGTCAAGACATTATCAAAACATTGCAGGATTATATTGATGCTAAGCCACTGAAACCTATTAAGTTGCTAAGTCTGCTGTGTTTACTAGAAACAGAATCCCTTTCATTTTAGTCTCAAAAATAACTCAGCTACAAAGGCAAAGAAAGTTGTTAGCACTGAGCAGAGGTGCAAGAAATCAACTCTGTGAATACAGTGATCATGAAAGATGGATTACATACCCAATTCTATCTTAAGTAAGAAAAGTCTAAATTTGATTTCAAATAGCTGGTAACCACAGGTGACACCACAATTCACTCAGCTGTTAGAAAGGAGGAGACAACCAATCATTAAAAATTAATCAAACTGTCAGTATTGCATATAATCACACATGACTTCAGTTCATTATTCTTGCACCATTTCATACATGTTCAGACACATATCAGATTAAGAAAAATTACAAAGAGATTACTATTTGTATTTATACTGTATTGCAAATACCTAAGCTATAAAACATTCTAGTTAAAGCAAATAATTAATAAGGTAAGCAGCTCACATAGCAAGGGAAATAAAATAAGGACACAAAGGCTGAGAAACTGAATCACCTAGATCATCTAGATAGCATTACACTGGATAACCTATTACCTTATTTTGGAAAACCAAACATGTAAAATAAAGAGATTTCCTCCAGAAAAACAGTTCATTCAGGACTATCACTGAATGAAGCCAGATTTTTCCAGGATCAGTGTAAAATTCCCTTTGAAGTAATTAAGAAATAAGTTTAACATCCTTATTTAGCTGTCTTAATTTTTCAATTATCTTTTCCACATGGAAGACTCTACAGCAAAGGTGCTGTTAGCCCACATTGTCCTGTCCAAACTTTGCTTGTGTTTGAAAATAACCACCTTAGCAGCTTATTTCAGAGTAGCTAAAACAATTACATTATGGAATAGCAGAATAAGTGTGATTTCCTTGCTCTTCTGGTTAAAAAAAAAAAAAAAAAAAAAAAAGCTAAATTCATCTTGTAGTGCAGTCTTCATTAAGACAATCTGTTCTTCACTTCTACCACATCAGTATTCCTGGAGCTGCATTTGTACATCACATACAAAGAGATGTACCACACTAACACTATTTTAAACTATTAAATGCTATAAGCAAAAATATTTTTGATAGATTCAAGAACTTGTAATAATCTAATCTAGAGGCAAGAATCATCTCAAAAATCCATGTAGAAGACACTGCATAAAGGCTGGTAATTAATTTTTTTTCAAATCCAAATGAATTCACCATTTTTGTTACAACACTCGTCCATGACCAATCTTTTGTACATTATTCTTTTACTACAAGTAGTAACAACACTTTCAACACAGCTCTGTAGGATGGCAATGATCAACTTCAGAACATGAGAAGGGGAAAATAATGTAGATCAAAGGTGGCTTTCATAAAAAGCTCAACTGCACATTCTAATTTAACTACCGAATTTCCTGATTACTGCTTCTACAGAAAAAAAAATAGGGGGGCAAATATCAAATACTGGATGCAAAGATGAAAACTTTCTACACCTTCACTGAGATTCAGAAGATGCTCATGTGAAATTGTGGTAATCATGGCATCTACATATCTATATATAATTATATTATATTATATTATATTATATTATATTATATTATATTATATTATATTATATTATATTATATTATATTATATTATATTTAGGGCTCCCTTACAGAAATGCATACAGAATTTTGCAATTCTGTAGTTCTTGCAGGTGCTAGACAAAGGTCTGCTCTCTRTAAGAGGCTGCTAATTCCCAGTACAGCTTGGACTCTGCATTATTGAGGGCTTGGTTTGTTTCTTCAATAAAGCAGCCACAACTTTAGAAYATTAGTTGACTGGTGCACCAGGACATTTGCTAACATCAGCTGCAATTAGAGCAACTCAAAGAGGTTCTACTTGGGAAAAACMTGCTTGATCCATATTCTGATAAGAAATGAAACCTCATCCATATCACTCCTGACCCTCTGGGTTTTCTTCTTCCCCACTACACCAATTCTACAAATCCACATAAATACTGCGTCACAGTAGTGGAGAGGACACAGAATGGATTAAGAATCATCCCCCATGGTGAAGCTACCTTAAAGGCATATTGGATTACAGCCTCAGTAGTTYTAAGTWTTGCTCACCATAAATAAAATCACAYGATTTTTAACWACTGGGGATTTATRTATCACTTTTTCAATTGGCAAAGTAAAAWGCAAAACAAAGCAAGAACTTATGAACAACACAGCAAGCGTCCCCTAGGACAGAGATGTCAGAGACATTTAACCCATTGTAAGTAGTGGTTATAAGAGTATGCTTATGTACTTTCCATAAAAAGGTGAATTCTTATTTGCTTATTCATAAAAATATGATTTGCTTTTCTAAGCAGGATGCACTGACTCTGTTACTTACTTTTCTCTTAAATTAATTGCGAATAAAACAACAGCAAGAGATTTTGTGTCTAAAGCAGAGTTTATTACACACATTACTGTTGTCTTATTACTTAAGTGCATAGATAAAGAATATAAAATTTTGTAACACTGCAGAAAATCCCCGTGCTGGTGGAAAAATAACCATTTTATAGATGTTTTCTTAATTTCAGTTTCTAAGAACACTTCCACTAATTTTTGTCAAGATAGAGAACAACCACTTTTCMAAAGAGACTGTAAAGAACTGTGTGAAACACTTCCTGCTGCARTCACACCATAGTTTCCTCTTAATGTTCTTGGATTCCCTGGCTGCTCCACTTGCAAGATCTAATTATGCTTGAGAGTTACAAGACAGGATGGAGACAGAGAGGAGCGCAGGGCTGCTGCTGACTTTCACACTCCCTGCTAGGTCAACCTGGCCCTAAATGCTTTAATGCTCTGCTCGTCTCCAGATTAGCTAAGCCATGGACTCTTAATATGGTTTTAACTTCTACCAAAACAGAAAGAAGCCGTTGAACCGGACACTGCCTCAGCTTCCAGTTTTTTCCAATCTAACACTCTTCTGTGTTTCTCATTCCTGGCATTTTAACTGTGTGTGTACATACATACATACATAAACATAAACACGATTCAGAAAGTTTTGGAACTGCACTGATCAAATAACATCCTTCTCCAGCCCTGCAAAAAGAACCCTTCTGTTATCTTTGCTAGAGAATCAACTCTTAGGTAACAGAGCCACTGACTGCMAAGTGATAACTCCGTTTCCACCAAGCATAAAAAGTACACGTTRGACACTGAAACTACATCCTGGGCTGGATGTTTAGAATGATCCCCCACAAAGCCTTTTACGCAAGATGAAAGGCTATTAGAGAGTTTCAGTTAAAAATAACCTAATAGAGCAGTACTGTAAGGAATACTGGAAGAATTGCGTCTAGTTTGCAAACAGTACCGCACGCAACACCTGCTCGTCACACAACACCAAAGCGTTTCCATGCTTTAAAGAACAGTAAGCAAAACACAAATTGGCACACTTAAAACACTAATTGCCAGGGTGTGGAATAAGTCCCAGGGGCACAAAATTTACACAGCATTTACAGTTTTCTTCCTCCACCAACACACAGCTGCCCTTTCTCTCTCGTGGAAACTCCCGACCTCAGGCGCTGCCCTCCCTGCCCGGCCGCCGAGCAGCCCCGGAGCGGGGCGTACGAGCCGGGCAGACCCCGCTCCGCTGGGCACTCCCGATGCAGCCGGGGAGCCCGGGAAGGGGCGGCCGCTCCCGCGGGGTGACACGTCGGACGGGCCGGAACGGGAGGCGCGGCCCGGCCCTCCCCGAACCCGGGCCCAGCGCCTGCCCCGGCCCGACCCGGCCCGGCCCGGCCCTCACCTGCCGGCGGCGCCGCTGCGGCCCCGGGGGCGTCCTGCTGCGGGGGAAGGAAGGGCAGGACGGAGGGAGGGCAGGGGACAAGGAGGCGGCCGGGCGGGGCGGCGCCGGCGGCCCCTCTCCAGCTTTATTTTCTTCCTTCTCCGGTGGCAGCAGGAGCCGGAAGCGCCGGGCCGGAAAGGGGATGACGGCGGCGGCGGCCGCGGCCTCTCTAGGCTGTCATGTCTATGGTCGCAGCCATGGCAACCACCGCCAGCACCGCCCGGGAGGCTGCTCCAGCCCCTGCCGACAGCCGTGCCCGTGAGCTCGGGCTGCCGGCCGGGAAAGCAGCCGGGAAAGCAGCCGGGAAAGCAGCCGGGAAAGCAGCCGGGGAGCGGCGGAGCAGCAGCGTGCCTCCCCGATGGGATGAGCGCGCCTGGGAGACGCTGCTCGGTACCATGGCAGAGCCCGAGCCCGAGCCCTCAGTGAGGAGGAAAAAAAGCATATCCATCGAGGAAAAAATTGACATTATAAGCGCTGTGGAGAGCGGCAAGAAAAAGGCGGACATTGCAGCCAAGTATGGCATCAAGAGGAATTCTCTGTCTTCGATCATGAAGAATAAGGAGAAAGTTTTGGAAGCCTTTGAAACTTTACGGTTTGATCCTAAAAGGAAAAGACTGAGGACCGCTTTTCATGCCGACCTGGAAGAGGCATTGATGAAGTGGTACCGAGTTGCAGAGTGCTTGAATGTGCCRGTAAATGGCCCTATGTTGCGCCTCAAGGCGAATGATTTTGCCCAGAAGCTTGGACACAGTGACTTTAAATGCAGTAATGGCTGGCTCGATCGTTTCAAGTCGAGGTATGGTTTAGTTTTCAGAGCTCAGCCTGCAGAAGCAGCTGCTGGTACTACAGTGGATGCTCACACTCTTTGGTATCAAAATGTGCTTCCTTATTATTTAAATGAWTACCAGCCAAAAAATGTGTTTTATATACAGGAGGCCGGGTTGTTGTATCAGATGTTACCACATAACACTTTTGCATTTAAAGGGGAAACTTGTTCCGTAGGTAAACAAAGCAAAGAGAGGATCACTATAGTGGTGGGTACAAACATGGATGGCTCTGAGAAACTCCCGCTGCTTGTTATAGGAAAACACAAAAATACACGCTCTCTCAAAGATACAAAATCACTGCCAGTGGATTATGAAGCAAATGACAAGGCATGCATGACTTCAGGGATCTTTGAACAGTGGATGCATAAACTGGACAACAAATTTCAAGCACAGCAGCGCCGAGTGGTCATTCTTGCTGATTCTGTCCCAGCTCACACAGAAGTAAAGAATCTGAAGTCTGTCAAATTAGTGTTCTTTCCTCCAGACTCTTCTTCATGTATAGCTATGAAACAAAAGATTATCAGAAGTCTGAAGGTTAAATACAGGCACTGTCTTATCAAGAGATTTGTTGACTGTGTAGAAAGTAATAAAGAGTTTATGCTGACTATTCTTGATGCAATTGAAATGCTGTGCCTGTGCTGGAGGGAAGTAACACCACAGACTCTTGTAAAAAGTTACAATGGAGCCACTCTCAAATTAGAAACTGAGCCAAATGAAAACAACAATGACGTTGAAAGTGATTTTGATTTGATTGCACACGCACGGGCAGCTGGAGTGGAGTTTCCAGAAGGTTTGTCCTTGGAAGAATATGCAGCTCTAGATGATGGCTTGGTAACTTATGAAGTGCCCACAAACAATGAAAGGATGTGTGCCAAAGAAAGTGCATCACATATAGCTGAGACATTTATTGGTGATGAAGATAAGGATGAAGTTGATCAACTTCAGGGAGCTGAACAGCCTTCACCATCARAAAATGAGGCTTTGAGTGCTTTAGATACCCTCCGAAAGTTTCTCAGAACTCAAGACACTGATGATTCTTTTTATGATTCTCTAGCTGATTTGGAGGATTTTATTCAACGTGGAACATGTGAATAAATATTTTAGCAAATGGGAAAGCATGTAATTGGAAAAAAGGAAATTATATAAGCAAAAAAAGATAGGCAGTTTAATAACAAGCATTGCTGAAATGTTCTCTGGTGTTGTTTTGCCCAGGTGCCTAGATGTACATAATAAAATTATGAAAAAGGGCTATGAACTGAAATTTTCCACAATATCAGGAGCAAATAACACATATTTGAGGTGGAGAGAGGGAGTACGCTGAACCCCTAAAATGCTATCTATAGTAAATAGAGTCGAGGCAAAAGAAAATTTTTGAGCAGTTTGGTGCACTAAGGATAAACTGTTGATCACTTGGAATTCTTTCTTCAACAAGAGGCTAGCACTTCTACACATCAATAATTTCACTGGTGGTTTTTGATGTTTGACAGTGGAGTAGTAAATATTTATCGCCTTGGTGCATTTGATACATAAAAACTAAATTCAATAACACAGAAAATACATCCTTAATTCTGAGAAGTAAGGCATTTTATAAATATTTTTCATCCTTCATCAAGAGTTCTGGCCATCATTTATTCTTGCAGCAGATGATGAACAGCAGAAAGTTACCACAGCTTTGGATGTGTTTTGTTTTCTTAATGCTACTCAAGTGTGTATACACTTGAATGGCATAATCATTTATCTAAAAGTCAGGAGACAAACAAACCTTTACTTAGTCTTTGAAAAAGTGAAAATGAAGGTCATTCTCTGCCTTTCAGCCCTTTTTGTGCATGGATTTGCTGTAGGTCCTTCTGTGCAACTCCATGTATTTCTACAGTAAATTCAGAATAAAAATGAAAAATCCRAATCTTCACTAAAAACCTCACTGAGCATTTGTTTTATTTTCAATACTTGGAAGTTTTGCTCTAGGATTCAATGTACTAATGTGGTTTTTACAAGTCCCACTAATAAAAGTGCCGTTTGCATGATTGCAGTGTGGAGTAATGTAAATCACAGTACATTTACATGTTTTCAAACATTTCAAACAACGTAATCATGTCAGAGCCAAAATCCACAGTGTATATGACCTTGTGGCTTTTTTCAGAATCTGGTTTAAATCTTTTCCATATGTATCAAYTTAAATTTTTCTCAAAAGTTAGAGATAATAATTTTTCTAATTTAGAGGAAGAAGAAAATATTTTATGGACACCCTTTAGAAAGCCTSTCTAATAAAGAATCTATTATGCCTATAATTAAACCATGAGAAAAAAATCTCATGTGACTCTTCAGTTTTAAATAAGTAGTTTGGCTAAAGCATTGTTTACTCGTTTTTTTTTTCTGTAGGAAAGTTTATCCATTTATGAAATAATTTCAGAAAATGTATCAAATTGTTGGAATATGGTGAAAATATTAGGGTAATTTGGTGAGAAAATGCTTATGACTGTATGAAAGTTTTGCTAGAAATATGACCAAAAAAACCCCACAAACTTCTGGGTTTTGTTATGAAATATCTAATATCAATTCCATCCAAAGGATATTCTGAATAAATGAGAAATTTCTGTTGAAATCCCAATAAATGAAGTCCTACATGGAGATCCACAGATCCTGTAATAAAGGTACTCCTCAGAATTATCTCTCCTAGATAGTCATTATTTTAAAATATAGATGCAAAGTCTTTTAAATTAATAATCCATGTCTCATTTTGCCAGCTTAAATACTTTAGAACAAGCTTATGAAAAGTACTTTCTATTTTGGCTAATCTTATTTGAAGTTCATATAAATCCCACAGAGATCTGTAGATAACTTTCCTATAGTAATCTTTTGACTGAAGATCTATTTCTTTGCAACAGCTTGTCCTGCTGAAAGGAAGTTGAGGGGAAAGTTTCTCTTATCCATATAATAAATGTGTAATCTGTTATGATTTGACTYGATGTGGCCCACACTGGCCCAGGTTCTGCATAAAGACACTCTGTGTTTCCTTCTGAGAGAATTCAGGGTGTGAAAGTGTTGGATCTGAATGAGAAATACTTGCATATGTAAGCAGAAAATCCYGGTTAAACAAGGGTTCACTCTGCAAGTGTAGTTTTTGCAAAAAGAGGTTTAGAAAATCAGGAGAYGGGAAATAACGCTGTTAGCTGGAAGGGAAGGAAGTGAATTACTGARTGTTGTCATACTCCCTCATGAAAACGACAGGAAAGATTTACTAATTTGGCCTGAAGTTTGAAGGTGAGTTGTGGAACTTGCTTTCAAAAACATACAGCCTGTCAAAATCCTGTATCTTTAGAGAATACATGACTTTTTCCTAGCCTCCTGGTTCATTCTGAGAAACCAAGCTAAAATGCACTCACTGAAACTGGTTCTCTGAGTCAGACACTTTATATTCTAACACTATTGCTTTCGAAATTATTTAGGAGCCCAAATATTTCTCCTAGCTTGGATTTTGGTCACATTTATAGTGAAAGAATGTGAAATCCATTCGCTGTTTCAAGTGTTTGTCACGGGGACATGCAGACTCCCAGATCTGAAATGCTAACAGTGAAAAAGGAAGTGGTGTGCTGTGTAAATGTTTGTCAGTTTAGCCTCTGTACACAGTTTGAGCTGACGATTTCTTTACATTGTCTGGGTAAACCACCAGGACTCTGGCTTTTTACATCTGGGGTGGTATCTTTTGGGGAGAGAGGGACAGTATGGCTTTAGATTGCACCACATTTAAAATTAAGAACCTTTTCTACAAAAGGCAGGTAACTAAGGCTGTAATCTGCTTTAATATTTTAATATTAGTATAGACAACTATGTTCTTTTTTCTGTAGCTAGCTTTTCTATGTCATGCTATGGTTAGGTAGTGATTATGTTCTTCAGTGTCAAGTCAGTGAGGTTGCTTTCAGTAACCCAAAAGTGACTTCTAGAAGTGGGAACTGAAAATAGGAAGTTTTAAAAATATAACTGACTTCTAGACAAGGCCAAAATAGAAAAAAAAATACTTGCAAGGTATGTTCAATGTAATCAAAAGTGTTTTCAGATTCTTGAGACAAGCAATATGTAAAATTATGTATGCTATATGAAAATGCATATGTATTTGAAAACTGTAAGAAATATTACACTGATTTTTTGCTGTGTGHGTTATTATGTGTGCAGTTGTGGATACCTTTCAGGTCTATAAAACTACATCTTCTTTTAAAACTGTCACTGAAAGGAAGATTGCTCACCCCTAATGGCAAAAGGAAATAACTTTTTGCACCCTTAGGCAAAAATGGAAAAGAGGAGGTAGTCAGGGATTCTTAGGAGAGCAATCCATGTCTGCCTGTATATCCAAGATTTGTGACATTTTGATAGCTAAGCCATTGAGGGAGTAAATGAGTCAATGGTTTCACAATATTATGCACATCTTGAGAATAATACCTTCAAACACACAGAATCTTAAGTAATTTTGAATTTTATGTGCAATATTTTTGTAAATTTWAATTAAATTATAACATTAAAGTATTAGTAAAATGCTTTCAAGATTTTTTTGGTGGTTGTGTTTATTGAAATGGTAGAGTAATATTGGCCTACTCAAGACTTGACTAAAATATGTGATGATTGGGCAACCATGGGATGTAATGACAGTGTTTCATATTATTTTATTCATTTAATATCAATAAAAGCTGGTGCTTCATATTTTTGGGAGGCATTTGTTAGAGGAAGGTTTTGGAAGTTCTGATTGGGAACTGAATGCTGCTGTGGCCAGAGAGTTTTCATATTTATATGAGGAAGTCAGTATTTGTATCTAGATGTTTTAATATGCCTAGTTTGGGGATCCTTCCTTGAAAATCAGTACCAAGCCCAGTCAGTTAAGCAAACAAATCCAACTGAAATTTTTCCAATGAGATGAGTGACAGCATACTTCTGTCAATACATTCATTAACAACAGGAAAAAAAATCTTTGCAAATTAAAATATAACAACTTCATGTCTGACAGCCTGTTCTTACACAGCCTTTATGCTGGTAAAGCTGTGTGGTGTAGACATGTGATTCCCTTTTCCTGATATAACTGTACTGTGTTATAACCACATTATTGGTTTTTAGAAACAGGAATTCCGGTGTAACTCAATTCCCTTCTTGCTAGCACAGTTACTTCATTTGAGCTGTATTTTCTCCTTTCCACTGTAGTTGTTTAACTGCAACAACATCTTAGAGCAGACTGGGGGGGTTAGAGCAGACTGGTGGAAGCCAGTAGTGTCTTGCCAACTTTAGCTGTGTCACTTCTGTTCTTTGAGAAGAATGGAAAAGTGTAAATTGCAAATTTCTGTGATCAGTAAAGTGAACAAATAGCACACTGAATTACCAAGTCTGTTGAGTGAGAAGATGCTGTATTTTTGACAATTTTTAAAATGGCTTTCTGTGTTTTACGATATTTCAGCTGAAAGTCATGTTCTTCCTAAGTTTTCACATCAYCTTGCCTTTGTCACAAGATTCCAGGCTTGTGCATGAATAGCACCAAGGGGAACAGGTCACTCCCGTCCCTGCACAGATAGCTCCAATCCATGAGATTGCCACAGGTGGGTGGCTGTGTCACGGGGCAGGTGAGCTCCAGAGCTGGTTTGCATCCTCCCCTTCCCCGCCTCTGTTGCTTTGTGTGCTGTGCCGGCACTTGGCTGTAATCACTGAGGCCGTGACTCATCTGTCTGAGAAAGCTGTGGTCCGATGGGATGGTGCAACCTCACCCCAAATGCCAAAAGAAAGATTTCATGGTTTATTGTTTGAAGACTGCGGGACCCAGGATTGCTGAGGAGGGCAATAAGATGTCTCAGCTTTCCTGGCCTCTGCTCAGTAGCAAGGAGAAGTTCTTGCTTAGCAAAAGTWCTTACAAAACACTTGCTATTCAAGAATCACTTCCACATGTGATAACTAGTTGTTGGATTTCTCATCTGAAATCATCCACTTCTCTTGAGAGAGGTACTCWGGGCTGCCACTGTATCATGCATGTAAGGAGACAACCTAATGAAAGCACTGCTTTTTGTCTAGCAGCATTGGTGCCATCTCCTAACCTGTTTATATTATGCAATATGATACTTTGCTATTCAGAATTCTATTTCTTTCCCCTTCCACCTTTTTTTCCATCCATTGCCCTTATCATTTTATACTCACTGATATCCTGAAAAATTCTAACATTAGTGTTAGGATTGTTGTCCCAACCTTCTGGCAAGCTGTTTTCTTCCTAACTCTCCCTATTTCTAATATTATCTTTTGCAGGTGATATTTTTGACTCATCTCATGTGTCAGCCAGTATCACCCTCTTGGTACACATCATCATGATCTCAGGCCCTAATTTCTCCATTGCTGTATTTAGTGGCTTTCCCAAATCCTTGCTTCATTTAGCTGAGAACATTTAGTACGTCCTTGTTTCTTTTTGACTTTTCCTTTTGTAGAGGAGGCTGAGCAGTGCTTTTTCCAGCAGTGTCCCAGGATGTCTGAGAGAACAGGTAACAAAACACAAAATCTCTCTCTCCTTTCAGGTGTCTCAATTTTCTCTTTTTGTCAGTGGTCTGCTCTGATCTGTTCTTTTGAAATTCTCGATTTGACATTTAGTATCTTTGTTTAAACTGCTCCTATTTCTCTTTCTTCTCTTATCCCTATCAAGGATGCATAGCATCCTTGTCACACTTCACTTTTACATTTCCATTTCCAAATAGCATATCCCTACCCTTGGTTCTTTGGATCTTTCTTCTCTCCTCTTTTACGGGCCCCAACCAATATTTAAACTACATTTCAAATTCCCTTTTCCTCCTTTCTATGATTTCATGTCCAGTTCTCTCCTCCAAAAACCAATACTTAACTCTTTCTGGAGACAACCAGCTTTTTTACTTTCTTTCTTACTTGGCATGTCTCCATGATATTCTTACATCAAAGATTATGTAATGATTGAAAGATTAAAAGTATGTTATCTTCTCTAAATTTGCCTCTGCATTTTATTTTTTCCCATCCCTTTTTCTTAGTGGTTTCAATTCTTTCCTTTGTTTGAACATTTCTTTTGCACTCCTGATGACCAGCATGAATTTTATTCATTTTTTTTAAGTTTGTAAAAAATAAACCCGCAAACAAAACCTGCACAAAGATGGAGTCTGGGACTGTTTGCTTACAYAGCTTATTGTGTTACAATGCTGCATTAAAAAGTCAGATTGAAAGCCAGCTCAGACCTTAGCTAATTTCTATCAAGGTTTTTTTTTTTWTTATTTGAATCGATATCTTTTGCTGTTTATCTTTGCTCTTTGCTATTTTAATAGCTGTTTGTGAGACATCAGATATTTGTGCCCTGTTCTGCTTCGTAGCCAGTCCATATGGCCTGAGATCAT